CACCGAGTCTCAATTTTTTATTCCGACAATAGTACTCTATGGGGAGCGGAAGATAAGTATTCTTCCCGGAAGACGAGATTACGATCAATGAAGGATGAGAACCGAGACATGTATTTATTATTAAAGGCGGTTCCAAATTACAGGTGAAGACGAGGTTATGTGTAGTGACACACAAGTTACAGTGACAGTGACAGCTACACCTGGACGGTACCTGAAGACGCATTCGCTCATAGTCAGTCTTACATTTACTGTTAGATCCCTTTTTATTATTCCTCGCTCTGTATTTTATTGATTAGTTCAGTTCATCCTCTACTAACTAAAATGGAATACATCTCTTATAATAGCTGCCTTACTGAGCAATCTGCTCAAATCGAGTCTCTCATTCTGAGTAGGGATCAACGGAAGGCATATGGATTCCCGGTTCAGATGAAATCGCAAGTCTACGTTCAGCCATGTCAGTACTCCTCAAAAGAGTTGTTTTATACGGAATATGGTACGTTTTTTGTTTAAAGTTCGTGCACTAGGTTTACCTATGGTCGCGACAGAGAGTGCCTCCCAACCATTTAACTTTAAGCCCAGATATCTGATGTCCTGTGAAAGATATCAATAAGTGGTAAACTGACAAAACACTTGTGGTATTATGATCAATATTTTATCAGTAAACTACTATTTGATATCTCTCATGGGAGCCGAGATGTCCTGGCTCAAAGTTAGCGCTCCGGGTGGCACTCTAATAGCGTGATTACGGTATATAATCTACCGTAGATTAATATTGTAATTTTTTAGATTATACCCGTGTGTGCACCCGTTGCCAGACTGTGTTTGAAGTTGAGAGAGATGGATACCAACGAATTTGGGGAGACTCGCCAGTTTGTCAAGTCGCAAATCATGGAATGTAAAACTTCCATATTCACACCCAGCAATCTGTAGAGGTATTGAAGACGTTCCAAAGAGCTCCAAGAGAAGATCCATCGAATCAATTCATGTCAAGAAAACTGTTCGCTCTGGACGTTGAATCTGTTTATACATCTCATGGTCAAGCTGTTGGAAGGGTTACTGTAGTTGATCAATATGGAAATGTGGCACTGGATTGTTTTGTCAAACCAAAGGAGATCGTTTATGACTACGTGACGCAGTATTCTGGATTGACTCCCGAACATCTGGAGTATGCTACAGAGACAGTGGAATCGGTTCGAGAGAAGATCTTCCAGATCATCAATAGAAGATCCATTCTCGTTGGACATGCACTCAATGGGGACTTGAAGAATCTTGGAATCGTACACTCGGAAGTGATTGACACATCGGTTATTTTCTCCAACAATGGAAGACGTCCGTCGCTTCGAGACCTCGCTTCTAGATATCTCAATTGGTCGATTCAGAATTCAATCAATGGACATTGCTCATACGAAGACTCCATCGCTTCTCTTAATTTGGTTTATTTTGCAGCTGAAAATTCTCATTTGTTGTCTCCAGACTTCCAGAAATGTTCTTCTTTGTACTAATTATGTCATTCGTTGCAATAATTTGTGTCATTTGTTTCTCTCTTCTCAATGAAAATTGTTTTTTTTAAATTCTGAGTTTTGTTGGTTTCCTATTTCACATTTTATTTTACCTGGTTTCCTTTGAAATTTAGTAGAAATTTCAAATATAAATTGAATACATAGATGCCCATACTACATCGTAGAATTAAAGATTTCTTAATGTTTTTGTATATTTACAGGGTGCGCCAAGATTATTCAACCAAAGTTTAGTGCGAGCTGGTGGGCACTGTAAAATTTTTAGAGCAATAATCTTGTACGTATAATTTTCAGCATGTCTTGATTGCCTTATCCCCAAATTTTCAAGTCTTTAGGTTGACTTTTACACGAATGGTGACTAGTTCTATACACCTAGGCACTCTCGTCGAGGTCACCAAGAGAGGGCTGGGCCAAAGCAGCATCGGAAAAGCTCTCGGAATCGAACGTACAACCTAGTGGACAATCATCAAATGTTTCTAACAGTTGATTACGGTCAAGAACTGTCTAAAAACATCAGATCTCAAACTTTTATTACCCTGGAGAGAAACAAGGCCGTCAGAGAACGAGTTTGACAAATTTCGAACTAAATCATGGAAAAATGAGCCTGGAGCTCCAAATGAGCAGTAATTCTGCCAGTATAATCGCCAAAAGTGAGCTCGGACTGACCCCATTTCAGGTTCAAAAGATAAGAACTCGGTCGAGAATTGACAATCAGGTACGCATCCAGAAGTGCAAAATGGCATTTCCTGGCACGCACCAAAATGAACACAAGAGGATGATGTTCGGCGACAAGAAACTCTTGACATTGAAGGCCGAATTCTTATCAGAAAACCACCGAGTTTTCTGCTCGATATCTGAGCTAGCTAATAATCACGGTAGGATGGCCAACCGAGCTTCATATCCTTAGTACGTCATGGTTTTTGGTGCCAAAACCTCCGAATTCAATTTTTTGTAGATTTGTGGGGAAATTCACCAAGTACTAATAGGAGGAAAGTTTTTAGAAGTAAATTCTTCCGTGGGTCAAATACCATTCTGGAAATTATGTTTATACTGTTCCACGGTTTTCTGATCTCGCTCACAAGCCAAAAATTGATCAACCAGGGTGCGTGGCCAAATTTTCAAGATTCGGTACGACTTGCGGATGGTCACCCTTGTCGCCAGACACAATTTCGGTTGACTATTCCGCGTATGGAATTTTTCTGTCGAGGGTCCCAGCACGTCCTCATCCCAATTTGGAGTCGCTGGGAAAAAGTTTGGACCCAGGACGGGCCCATTCATCCCCAAAACACCTCCGTGCCACAGTAGACTCTTTACCGTAGAAACTCATGGATGTAGTGAGGATCAAAAGCAACTGCATCGAACAACTTTGATAATATCATTTTTAAAAAGTATTCAGGAAACTATTGTAAAATTTTTAAGTCTATTCGAGTATTTTCAGAGAAGTTACAGCACTTTGAATGTGTTGCAATAATTTTGGCGCATCCTGTATAAAAACTCTGAAACCGCAAAAAATATTTTTTTTTCAAAGATTTTTGGATGGAATACTGTATAAATTTTATGTATTATATTATTCTGGTTAAAAAATCGGAGCCAACAACTACAGCTACAGTAACCTAAAATATTTTTAATTTTCGGATATAGTTCTCGATTTTTGTGCGTTTTGAGAAATTGATTGTTTCTTTGATTTTTTGCAAAGGAAATATGTTTCGTTTTTTTACCGGTTGTGTTGGACCCAAGTGAAATTATGTTTCTACAGTAATCTACAGTAATTAAAACATCGTTCCATCAAATTTCAGACAAAAACAGGAAAAATCGAGAAAGAATCTTTTTTCTTTTTTGAACATGGCGAAAAAATCGAAAAAGCCCTTCAAATTTTGCAAGGAAAACGAAGAAAAAATAAGAATATTCTCTCAAAATTGCAAAATTTTTAGGTTAGTAGTTGTCGTTGTGGGACCTTTGGCCACGGTCACCGGCATTTCTCTTCCCCATCACCTATTTTTTCGTATCAGAAAACTACCGAAAAAATTATTTTTGAAGGTTTTTTAATGAAATTCATAGACATTTTATCCATCATTCTACCTGAAAACGGAAAAATGATTTTTTTAAATTGATTATTTCGAAAGCAATCAGTCAAGCAAATTTATTGAAACGGAAATATTTGGGTCCAAGCAACAACTTTTTTCTATATTACGGTGTGCCCTTCATTCAAACCAACAAAATCAACGAATACAGTTTCCATTGACACATCTTGTTCCTGTTGGACACGGTTTCAGACAGATTTTCCGAAGGTTCGGCTTCAAAGTGCACTTTCCTTTGATGCATTTTCTCATTTTAGAGCATTGAGATGAATCGGCGCAGGGGGTTCCAGCTTGGGATTCGGAGACGAATAGGAGGAAAATTAGTAGCATCTGATAATGATTTTCATTGAAATAGAGGAGAAGAAACTTACAAAGGGGATCTTCATGGTTTTTAGGGAGACGAAAAAGATAAAGCAGTAAGGAAAAGATGTTTGGTGCTCCTTTCATGCAGAAACTGAAACAGGGAGTTTTGTGTTCCCAGAGAATGGGAGGTGGGAAAATGAAAATGGCTGGGAGTTGAATGAAATTTCTCAGAAGTGATTGAGAAAATGGTTTTTAGAAACATATTGAATTTGAATTACCGTATTTTCTCTAATAGAAACTCGTCCAGACCGTCATATTTGAGCTCAATTATCTCCACTCCTGTGAAAGATATGGAAAACTTGTGACTGATAAATTGCTCATCATAATATCACAAACATTTTATCCATTGATCACATTTTGATATCTTGCACAGGAATTGAAATAATTGAGCTCTAACTAGAGAGGCCCCCTGCTATTTCATGTTTCACTGCATTTTGTAGTTTTAAAAAGTGGTAAGATTCCTTCTCTTGATTTGAAAGTGTTCAGAAAAAACATTCGAGGAAAAAAAAATATTATTTTAAATAGTTTATTTTGTAATTCATTGAAAAAATTGTTTCTGAAGATTGTCTAAAATCTGGAAGAAAACGACTATGGGTTTTTGCTGAGAATGATCAGAACAATACATACAGTACCGGACAAAAAGAAATCAAATTTTAGTTTTTCGAGAGTATCTCAAAAACTATGAGAGCTAGGACTCTGAAATTTTGTATGTATGTTTTTGAAAGGCTCAGAAATATTCCAGAAAAATATCAAGTCCGCAGACGCCATATCAGACGCGCAATTGCTAAAAAAATCATATTTTCGAATTTTTCAGTTTTTCAGAGTTTTCACTTTTTTTGTTTTTTTTTCAATTTTTTTCGGTTTGTTTGTAATGATTTTTGTTCCTATAGATGGGTAGAAAACATAACAACAAAACGTCTACTTTGGCGGTCCAAGAAGCGGTCGTTCAGGGCATCCAGATGGGTCTGAAGCGCAAGGATCTGGCTCTTCAATTCAACCTTGCAAAATCATTCATTACTAGGATTTATAAGAGATATCAGGTTAGGGAATCATGTTTATTTATTGTAAAATTCTTGTTTCAGCTGCGACAAGGCGTTGTCATTTGAAAATCTCCGGGAAGACCACGGAAAACCAATCATCTCACCGATCGGAATATAGTGATGACCTCGAGAACGAATCCAAGATTGAGCGCTGGGGAAATTTCAGCGATCGTGGATGGTCCAATGACTCCCGTACCTCACGTCAGAACTGTCAGACGTCGACTGGCTCAATCTGGACTGAATGGAAGACTGAAAGATATGGTTTTAATAACACACAAAAACAGTGAAATTAATTTTGAATCAGATTTTTATAGCAATGAAAACAACTAACGAGACTAAAAAACAAAGCAACAAAAATGATATAATCATAAAACGGTATTGTCTATTCAAAATAATCGCGCGAGTGAACGAGTAAAAATGTCTGCGTCTCTACAGCGCCTCTACAGGTTTGGAGACTCTCTACACGTTTTTTCACTCGTTCACCCGCGCGATTATTTTGAATAGAAAATAAAACCTGTAATAGGGGGCCACCCAAACCGTTAAATTCATCCAATTTATCTCGGCTCCTGTGGTAGATATCAAAAAGTTGTCAACTGATAAAATGTTGCTGATATTATGATAAACATTTTATCAGTTGAAAAATGTTTCATAGTAACCGAGATAAATAGACTCAAAGTTAAAAGCTAGGGAGCACGTCTATTACAGGTTTTACGGTAGCTAATTGTAGAACTCCGGATAAAGTTGAACTTTTGGTTTATTCAATTTTTTAAAACAATAAGTAAAAATTAAATAACAAGGTTAAAAACGAAGCAAAAAAGGATATAACTATACATAACTAGAGAGTTCAAAAACAACAAAAAATAGAGTTTCAAATCACTGTCTTTGGTTCCAAACAATAAAATGTAGCATTTTTCTTTCTTTATCATGAGCAATTGTCGCTAGAACTCCGTCATCTCTTCTCAAATCAAACCCATCCTTACAATCGATCTTTATTGGGAAATATGTTTCTTGGTATCTGAAATCAATACATTTTATGAACCAAAAAACTATATACTGTATTTGAGCTCACTTATCTCATTTCCTATACGAGATATCAAAAATTGAGCAACTAATAAATTGCTTTTCATAACATCACTAATATTTTATTAGTTGATCACTTTTTGATATCTCTCATAGAAAGCGAGATAATTGAGCTCAAAGTTAAGTGCTTCTATTAGAGCAAATACGTAAAGTCAAAAAATTATAACTTACTCATAATATCTGGGTCTCCTCTTCTCATCCCATTCCATATATTTCACACCTTTTAATAAAACATTAAAATTTGGAGGTGTCCAAAAACATCCCAAAGTCAGCTTTTGGAATTTTGTATTCCTCTCGGATAACCAGAATTTCAGCAGCCAATTCAAACTTTCGACTTCATAATCATGGTGGAGGATGGTGATCATTTCCTGGTTCATCACGAAAACTGGGCAAACGGAATAGGCGAATTCAATTAGTATGCGTGGAATGGTACGGGCTGTCTGGAAAATAACGTTTTTGTGATTCTGATACAAAAAATCGGAGGCCGAAGGTCCCACAACAATAACTGCCGTAACCTAAAATAAATTACTTTCAAAGAATTTTCATCTCAGTTTTCGAGAATGTTCAGAAATTTTTTTCAAAGTTTTGCATTTTTTTGCCAATTTTCTTCGAATTTTTGCACATTTTTAGACCTTTTTAGGTTTTTAAGCTATTTCCAAAGATTCTTTTCCGATTTTTCCATTTTTTTTTTGTCTGAAATTCGATGAAACGGTGTTTGATTACTGTAGATTACGGTAGAAACATAATTTCACTTGGGTCCAACACAACCGGTCAAAAACCGCACCCCAAATAACTTTTAGGCCAGAAGGAATTTAATAATTTCCAAGTTGACGTGGATTTGACCTAATTAGTTTTAATCAACGAGTTGCAACGCGTGATTTTTTCGTCCAACGTTTAAATGTTTGATCCTGATTCGCTTGAGGCTGATTCGCATAAACCAACCGTAGAGAATGAAAGAGCATGTTTGGAAACCTATAAATCCGTTTTCAAAATCTGCTTAAGAAACCTCCAAATTACTGAAATTTCAGTTTCAGTACCAAAAATTGCTTTTTCAGTGCAAAATTGGCGATTTTGAAATGCGATTATCTCCACTCCTAGGAGGTTTCAAAACATGAAATTCGTAGTTTTATACTTAAAATTGTGTAGAATTTCATATATCAACATTTTTTTCAAAAAAATTCTTTTTTGAAAAAATTTGAAATTTTTCTACCCATTAAATGGGATGATTTTCTCGAATCGTTGCCTTTTGGGAAAGTCTTTCTGAAAAAGTTGTGGTAATGTTCCAATAATTGTATGGCACATCAAAAACCTAATACACTTTCTGAGTTTAAAACTATTCAAATTTAAAGGGGGACTCCGACCAGAAATTTTTATTGCATTAAAATGTGTTAAAATTTATCTATTTTTCAAATATTATTGCGAAAAAATTCAAAGAAAATCCGAAATCCCCGAAAAACGGCGTTAAAAGGAAGAAAATTCAAAAAAAGGTGCCGCCGGGGGACGAGGATTTTCAGTGAGAAACCTAGGCCACGGCACCTGACAGCCTTT